CAAGCTCAGACACCCTCTTTGAAACTGGCAGCCTTCACTTCTGTGCCTCTTTTTACTGTGTATAGCACCTGACTGACTTTTCCCATTTCCTGACTCTTTTTTTCCTGACTTGGGGAAGTGCCTGTTCTTTCTTTATGCTGATCACAGTCTGGAACTAAGCACCTTACTGAGAGATGATAGGTATAGCAGCCACACAGAGACTTGCTGTTGGTGGAATCACAGTACAGGTCCAGTGGAAAGGCTGTTACGAGCTTCATTTCCTTGCCCTTCTGATTACTGAAAAGCAGTTTGCATGTATTGCAAAGGACTTCATTGCAATGAACTTCATTGACTCGATTGCAGTGAACTTCACTGACTTCATTAAGTGAACTTCATTGACTTCATCCTTTTTCAGCTGAGTTATGTTTTGGGTCTAGTGAGTTCATACATAAATATTTAACCAAATTTTTTGATCTAGCTGGTCAAATGTAATTTCTGTGATCTGAAAACAAACTATGTGGTTTGTATCTTATCTGTAGTACAACGTGTAGCATCTTACAAATATGGGTGTTATAAATTGTTGAATACTGAAGATATCACTGAACCTTAATACTGGCTGACCGTGGCAGATTCTTTGTCAAATTACTGCCAGAAATAAGGCAGAGGTAGATATTGGATTTTCTACATGGCACTAAGGAAAGTCCTGTCTGGACAAGATGGCAAGATGATTTCCACAGACTACTCTGCCAGCTTGCCGTCCTGGTTTTGGATGGGTAGAGTTAATTTTCTCCATAGTAGCTGGTACGGGGCCATGTTTTTGATTTGTGCTGGAAACAGTGTTAATAATTCAGGCATGATTTAGTGATTTTTCAGCAGTGCTTGCACAGCCTCAAGGTATTTTCTAATTTCTCCTACCACCCAGTCAGCAAATACGTTGGGGTAGCACAAGAGGTTGTGAGGAGACACAGCTGGAACAGCTGATCCCAACTGTTCAAAGGGATATTTCATACACATGCAACATGCTCAATGCACAAACTAGAGAGAAATAGGCTGGGGGCCACTGCCTAGCAGTGGCTGGGCATCAATTGGTTGGTAGTGAGCAATTGTTTTTAGTTTCCATTACTTGTCTTTCTTAAGTTTAATTTTCATAAATTTGTCTTCATTGTCATCATCATAATTATTTATTTCAATTATCAAAATGTTCTCAAATCAACCCATGAGTTTTCTCACTCCTAGTGTTCCGGTTCTCTTCCCCTCTATCCTGCTGGAGAGAGAGAGTGGGAAGAGTGGAAAGTGGCTCAGTTGTCAGCTGGGGTTCAGCCATCTCAATGGAAATGCTTAGTGAAATATCACATTTTAATGTAAAGGTCATAGAAACCCAAGGATGGATGTGCTGGATCATGACAATAGTCAAGGCAGCCCAGAATTCTGTCCAATTCCAACATTAACTTAAAAATTAATTCCCAAGGAACAGAATAAAACCAAATGTGGCTACCACAAAGGAATATTCTTTCAGACTGCTTCAGTCGCCAGTGATTCCTGAGCTATCAGTGGTATCTCTGTGTTTGAGCACTCTCAATGGATTTTCGCTCTCATGAATTGGCCTGGTTACTTTTTGGACACATACATCTTGAAAAATTGTGTTCCACAGCCCAAGGGCATAGTGTGTGAAAAGCCACCCCCTTTGGCCTATTTGAAAATACAGAAAGGAAAAAATACCAAAAGTTGCTACATTTATTTGTGCCTGGATGCCATGGAATAGACACTAGCTAATAGTCTGTACCCAGCTTTCCACTGTGCAAACTCTAGGTTTCTCTCTAACAGGATGAGGGAGCAACCTGGAAAAACAAAATTGATAACATTTCCTGGTCAAGATAAAGACAGTTAAACAGAGACAGAAAAAAATAAACAAGTGATGCAAAGACTCACCACCAAAAGGCTCCTGATCACTCAGTCTCTGAACAATGGCTGCACTGGACAGGCAATTCCCCAGTTTTCATTGCGGAGTGTGATGTTAGACATGGATTATCTCTTAGGGCAGTTTGGGTTGTTGTCCAAGCAGTGTCCACTCCCAATCCCTTGCTATCTCCCAGCCTGTTACTTGGGCTGGGGACAGAGGGAGCAACTAGGAAAGCCTCAGTGCAGTGCAAGCATTGTTCAGCAGCAGCTAAAGCACTGCTGTGTCCTCTCCACGGTCACAAACCTGAATTGTGGCACCACGCTGGCTGCTGTGAGCGAGCCAGATCCAGTATGCCTGAGCAGGCTGGGAATACACCTGTAGGGGCTGTCCTGGGGAGAAAAAGGTGTCTGTTTTCTCACAGACCTAATCTGGAGGACAACAGAAGCTGATTAAGTGCAGGTCCCAGATGAAAGGCTACGTGTAAACACAGGATGGAGCCCTAGGAGCTGGCCCATGCATGCCATTAGGCAGGCCAGAAAAGCAGCAGCTTCCAGAAGGCATTCTAAGGAAGGCCTGGAATTTGAAACACTGGTTCATACAGCAGCATCCCACCCTGTCAATTTGAGCTTGAATTCACAGGTGGAGCCAGAGAATGGTGACAATTTGTAACAAGACCAGAGGCCCCAGCATCTGCTTTCCTACCACACTGGGAAGAAAGCTTGGAAGAAAACAGAGTCTCTTAAGTGCTTCCTCTGAATGTGAACTATATGAGGATGGGTCTTTCAGACCCAGATAAACCCTTCATACTCAAATAGCCTTTCACACAAATAATCCCTGTCTTTCTGTCATCAGAGGTGACCCGAGACCTTTGGCAGTTAAATCTCTTCCCGGTTAAACTCATGGATCCCTCCAAGCAGCTCTGGCTTTATTCCCAAGACCATTTTGAAACCCTTTGGGGATTATGTGAGTAATTAGATAAATAATAAAAAAACCATGTCCGGATGTGGGATGATGCTGCAAGCAAAGCTCTGCTTTTCCAGTGCATTAGGCTTCACAGCAGTTGTTCACCCTCAGGGCTGCCAATAGAGGAATGCAAGGCACTTTATCTACAAAAGCAAAGGAAAAGAAAAAGCAAACAACAGGAGTTTTTCCTTCGTGACAATAAAACTGACTGTTTTCAGCAATATAATCACCCCTCCAAAGCCTAGAAGGTTCCTTTCACTCATCTGCCCACTTCTGGTTTTAAATACCCTGGTGTGCAATATTCAAAGTAATGCCCATTGCACAAGAATTTGTAGAATTTGTTGCTGATAAAAAAACCCCATTAAGACCAGGAGAAATAGTCAGGGAATTAGAATCATCTGCCTCAAAACAGATCCTTAGCAGACAGACATGTAAATCTGTATGCCTCCAGAGCCTTCCTTCGTAGTGAGGAAAAACAAACTTCTTCAGTGACTGGCTCATTTCACAAAAACAAGGTCATATGAAAAGTGAGATGTCCTATTCTCTGGAAGTATCAGTATTTCCCCACTAACAGGTGAGACTGCCAGCTCATTTGTACATCCACCTTTTTAATGTCTAAATTTAAGCTGGATATGTTTCTTTCCTCATTATTGCAGAATCTGCCAGTACTCAGCTAACTGGGCTAAAGATAAAACCTACCCATCCTTAAACCCCATTCTGACAAATCAGTAGAGAACAAAGTGTGTTGTTTACAGTATGTCTGGCCATTTTTGTGCACAGGAACACTCAAAAACTAATTGAACAAATGTGGACTCAAGTTCTAAGCCAACAAGTTCTTGCAGGAAGACAAATTGTTTTCCATTATATTAGGGAGACAAAGAAGAGATTAAGATACATATATATTCTTATGTATAGGATATGTATTTTTACATATAGGATATATAAGATTATATACATTTTAACATATCCTTCCAGCATCACAGCATGTAAGGGGTCAGTATCATTTTGGCTGCGTGTCAAATGATGGAATGGGGTGGGAAATGTCTTGGCAGGTGAAAGAACCTGTTTCTCTGACTGAAATGGTCCCTGACATGGTTGTTTGGGTGGGATACCCCTAATCTGACATTAGTTGTCTGGATGAGCTCCCTCCCTGGTATGTAAAGAGAAACAGGCACTGCCAGAGGACACTGACACCAGTTTAGGGCTCATCCATTGTCAGTAGGTGCTGTACACAGACCCAGGTGTCTGAAGCAAAGTGCAGGAGAGTGGTCAGAGTGTGACCAGAGCCTGTGGGGGGATAGCTGAGGGCTCTCCTGTGGGGCAAGTCCTACCCAGGGAGCATCCCCTGCCTGGGGTCTGGGGCTGTGCCACATAAAGCTTCTCAAAAACAGAGGGGAAGGTGAGAGGGGGAGGAGGGAGAATAAAACAGAGAAAGCTGTTTCAAACAGAACCGTCCAGAGAGATTCGGCTACAGAAAACTCATACAGAGCCTCGCTGAACTGATAGAGATGGTGCTAATAATGTCAAGGTTGTGTGTTTGATCCCTGTAGGGGCCATTCACTTCAGAGTTGGACTAGATGATCCTTGTTGGTCCCTTCCAACTCAGAATATTCTGTAAGTGTTCGACACACTTAATTATTTTGCCAGTATTATCCACTGCATTGTCTTTGAACGCCAGCTTCATAGATCAGAGATAAACAGAGACAACCAATCTTCTGCAGATTCTCATTCAGGATTACTCTAAGAGTAATGTCATGCCTCTTTCTTATTACACAGAGACTTCCTAAGGTAATGAAAGCTAGAAAGCTATTTCTTTTCTTTTTTCCACTAATACTTCCATTCCCCTTCTTAAGCTACAGTTTTTACCATGTTCTGCTCTCTACACGTTCTCATCCCTTGTTTACTTGTTTCCCTACCAGGGCTTTGCCAGGTCTTAATTACCACTGCTTTAGGACTATTACATAACTAACAAAGTCAGCTTTAATAACATTCATTCTTATCATTAGCAGATTAATAAGTAAACTCGTATCTCTAACAGGAATGGCAAGGCACTATTGGCTAATTTCAACCACATGATTTGGTACCACAGCATATAAATAAGCATGGATTTACAGGTCCAGCACTGGGCTTTTCTGACACTTGACTTCCTCAGCCCACCATGGAGGCCCTGGGAGTGACCACTATTTTGTTGCTGGTTTGCATCTCGTGCCTTCTCTTTGCCACATGGAGAAGCAGATCTCAAAAAGGGAAGGAGCCTCCTGGTCCCACTGCATTCCCCATTGTTGGAAACCTGCTCCAGATAAACCCATGGAATTTGCCTAAAAGCTTGAAAGAGGTAAGGGACTGTCTTATTCTTTCCTATGTTTTCTTCATGGCATATAAAACAAAGTCCAATCCCACTGTTCTCAGCTAAATTCACAAGTTTAATTTGCATTGAGCAAATGTTAAACAGAAACAAAAGGTTTCCCAGATATACATGCTTATTAAGTCTATATATAATTACAGTAATCTATTGTATTTTTAAGCCTATATATTACAGGTGTGTATATATAAATATATATATATGTCTATATATTATAAGTCAGTCCATATATTGGCAATGACCATAGTGAAATGAGTTATGTGCTGACCTCACAATTTGTACCACAGTACTACAATTTGCAGTGGATTTGCAATCAAGGCATTGATGCAGTTGCAGTATGATCTTCCTGTGCTTAATTCCTCACCACGCTGGCCATTTTTGGGGAGAGAGCCCTGCTCCATTTTGCTGCCTCTGCTTCCTAACAGATATGTAGGATCTCCTGGGAGTGGAAGTAGCAAGTGCAGAAATTGAAATAAAAACGTTTGGAGGTGAATTGTGCTGTCCATTCCCTCCTTTGACTGGCAAAAATACCCCTTTGAGAGGCAGTTTCACTGTTTGTGGTCAAAAATCCTTCAGGCATTTGCTTCCATGTTGTTTAACTGATTTTAGAGCTCATGTAAATTGTTATCCACTATGCCCTGCACAAAGGTATTCTAAAATGTTTTGCCAGCCCTGTGAAGGGCTATTTTCTTTTCTCAGATTTGGACTGGATACTTGCCGTTTCCATTCATATTCCTTATTTCTTGTATGATTCCCTCATCCCTCGCCTGTAACTCATAATTGAAAGATCACTGCACTGTTGTTAATCAATGTCATGTCTCAGCAGTGTTGGGACAATGACACATCACCTCTCAGACCTCTTTGCTACAAATGTCACAAGATTATCATTGGTGTTGTGATGTTGCTCTTTGTGCTCACCTTTCCTGCAGCTCAGTGAGAAGTATGGTCCTGTCTTCACGGTACATTTGGGCCCACAAAAGGTTGTGGTGCTGTATGGCTATGATGTGGTAAAAGAAGCCCTGGTTGATCAAGGAGATGACTTCAGTGGAAGAGGCACTCTACCACTGATTAAAAAACTCTTCCAAGGCACAGGTATGTTCTTGGTAATGCCAGCATGCAAAACAGATGCTTTCAGAGTTTCAGAAAGAGCTCCACCACAGCTGAGAGGGCAGTGCAGCAAGGCATGGTAGATTTCATTTACTACTTTCATGCAGACAAATTAGCAATTAAAGGCAAAAAACCCAGCTCATTACTTGAACTCTTGAGCAAACTGGTCCCCTGGAGAACTATTTAAAGTCCCAGGATGGCTTCTCTGACTGCCTTTTTATTTCCAGCGTGTTCCAAGCTCTGGCTAAAATTTTGTACATTAAATGTGCCTCTAAGGTCTTACATTCATTCTCTCATTCCTGAAAATATTCTGAATATAGACACAGCTAAGGAATCAGCAAAAGGAAAGTCCACAGCACAACAAGATAAGATAATATAGGCTGACCCAGTAAGGGTCACAGTCCAGATCAGGTCATGAAATGATTCACCAGGTCAGTCCCTGGTATGACATTTCTAGCACATATTCCATGATGTTATATATACAGGGCAGTACCATTGGTATTGTCAATAATGATATGGTCTATTGCAGGTGCACAGTAGAACATTTGAGTGGTTATGTCAGTGCAAAGGCCTTGTGTCCAAGACCAATTCAGTGTTACTTCTTACTTTGTAACATAGTTTTTCTTATCCTGGGAATAAAGTCAGTTTTATTCAAGGGCTGCGACAGATGGATCAAATTTGTCACCTTCAGAATTGCAGAGAAGTTATGGTTTGGGGCAGATAGCAATTGCAGTGTAACTCCACAGAGAGGTGTCTTTGCATGCTGAGTACTTACTGTGTTGCACCCATTAAAGGGAAAAAACCCTGTTTCATCATGAAGGTCTGTTTTTCCTCCCTGTGTCAGGCATTGTGACCAGCAATGGGGAGACCTGGAAGCAGCTGAGACGATTTGCACTCACCACCCTGCGGGATTTTGGGATGGGGAAAAAGGGCATTGAGGAGCGAATCCAGGAGGAAGCTCATTTTCTGGTGGAGAGGCTCAAGAACACACATGGTATGATAAGGACTTTGTGCCTGTTGAGACACTGCATATCTGCAATTAGACAATGAGGGGTGTAGGGTTGCTTCACAAAATCTATGACCCAAGGAGTGGGTGTATGGCTGCTGTTTCTGCTCCCTGCTTCTGTAGGTAAAATTATCAGTAGGCAAAATTATCAGTCAAAGGTACTGTGACAGTATGGAGGATAAAAGTAGGAGAGAGAGGCTTGGAAAGCACCTTTTAACCTATTGTGCTTGAGGAACAAGACAGGAAGGGGCAAAAGGAATGGCTTTGCCACAGAGCCAAGGCTCTGATGGAATTCAGCCATGGAGACAGTGCTGGATGCTGTCAGGTAATCAAGTATGCTCTTCTTCACCCTGTCTCCTGCAACTCTGTGTAAACAGATCTTGAAGAAGTAGGTGACCAGAGAACTCATTTGCAGATATTTGGGGTTGGGTCCATCTGAACACAAGACAATAGATCCCAGTATTGATGGGGCTGTCCAATGGGAACAGGTATATAAGCTGCTTCTGAGGGCAGGGTATAACGTTACCCACTTGCTTCCAATCTGTAAATGTGTTTTCTAGTACTATATAATCAGTGTTACTTCTAAATGTGTCCCCTGAGGGTGGCACAGTACCAGCCACCCTTTTCATTGCCAGCCCTCAATGTGTGCCTACTCTGCAAGGGGGAAAAGCAAATAGATCTAAAAGAATGATTAAGCATCACTGTTTTATATGAGCCACTAGACAATTCAATCTGGCTTCTCAGATAAGCATTTGTTTTATAAAACAGAGAAAACACTCTCACCTGCATTGCTTTTACCTTTTGACTATCACAGTAATACTATATTTCTTATGCCCTTATGCAAGCCTCTAACTCTGGCTCACCTTGTTGCATCATCTTTTACCGTGTATTAAAAGGTTTTGTAAGCAAGATATATACAAGAAAAAAGCATAAATCCATTATTTATTCTTAATGCAATTAATAAATAGCTATGACTAGTGTCTTCTACATTCAGCATTAATATACTCACCACCTCTGAAATATCCACTGAGTCTTCAATGGCCATGGAGTCACTAATCAAACCGAGAACTAGTGCTATTGCTCTGTGGAATAGTCTGCTACCAAGTTGACATTTTCTCACTCTGTGGTTTTCTTTCAGGATTTTATACCTTTTCATGTTATTGTTTCTCATCTTGAACCCTTGAGATGCACCCTATCACTGTCTGCAATTAGCTTTCCTTTCTTTCTTTGGTCTAATCTTGCTTTTTGCTTACACCATAATTCTCTGCACAGGAGTCATGCAGCTGTGCTATCAAAACTAGACTTTGATCACAGGCATTTGAACGCCAAGGGGAGGGTTATGTAACTGAGGTTACACTAATAAAGTTAATAAGGAGAGTGCAATAACCTAAAGAAATCGTTCAGGCAAAGTCTCCATGGTTTCATTGGGATTTTGTGGGAATGTTAGGCTGTTTCTAATAAACAGTCTGTAAGACAGACAGGCATGTGCTAGGTGAAGAGCAACAAAGGCACTCAGACCAGTGTTCTGCTGAGAACAAGACAAGAGATAAGCCACTATAAGAGTGAAATTAGTTCACTTCAAGAATAAGTTGGTAGGCCCTTCACTGTCCTTTCAAAGGAGTGCAAAATTCTGGATCTCCAGAGAATGTGAAACTACTTCGTAGGGTCAGAGGAGGGGTTATTCCGTGAAATACTGAAAGCAAGATACCTTTTTTTGATGGCTGTTGCAGAGAAACCTCTGAACCCCAGTGGTTTCCTAATCCATGCTGTTTCCAACATCATCTGCTCCATCGTCTTTGGGGATCGGTTTGACTATGAGGACAAGAATTTTCTAAGTTTAATTGATTGGATAGAGGAAAACAACAGGCTCCAAACCACTATACAAGCACAGGTGGGTCTAGTTTTATTTAATATATTTGTTAGTTATTATAATATTCAAATCCCTGAATGTAGTCAAACCATAAAGTAAATGGCCATAAAATCCTGAGTAAGAAAGACCTACTGCTCCAAAACAGTTTAACTACCCCATTTTCATAATTACAATCAGGGGAACATTTTAGTTTATTCACATTAATCAGAATGTACCTTTTCATCCCTTTATTTTTATAGCTATATAATTTCTTCCCAACTGTCATGGATTATCTCCCTGGACCTCATCAACGACTGATAAAAAATTTTGAAAAAGTTGATAAATTTACAACAGATATCGTAATGGAACACCAGAAAACCATGGATCCCACTTGTCCTCGAGATTTTATTGATGCTTTTCTTAATAAAATGGAACAGGTACTGAAAGAGTAGAGATGTATTAGATTACATGGAAATTACTACTTGAATCAGATCTTTTCTTTTTAGTTGTAATGGGACACTGGGTTTTTGCAAATACAGAGGGGAACTTGCTCTTCATGACACATTGACTTCATTTTATCCTCTCCATTTTTTTATCAAGGATTTTTAAACACAAAATAAACAGTGTGAGCCAAAGTGATGAAAGCTGAAGACCAATCTGGCTAATGTAATTCAATGCTCCTTCCATATCATAATATTATTTAGTAAACCTATAAAAATGCTGGTGTTCTGGAGAGTGAGTGTTGTATTTTTTAAAGAACATTAGAGGTTCTTTCTAAAGATAAACCTACATTATGGGTATAGAATTTTTCTTTTTAAGCAAACTTCTTGGGTTTGTCATTCAAAACCTTCTGCCAAATCTTCCTGCAGGAGAAAGGGAATGCTGACTCAAAATTCACCATTGAGACCTTGAGCAGAACCACACTTGACTTGTTCCTTGCAGGAACAGGGACCACAAGCCTCACACTGAGATTTGCAATTCTGATTCTTCATAAATACCCGGAAATAGTAGGTAATGGAAATAAATAGTTTAAAAATTTTTAATAGGTTGTGGGATCAGTTTGGACAATTCCTGTCACTACCACATGTGGCAATACTCCCCTGACTAAGGAAATATGTTTTAGCAGTGTGGAGATGTGTGTAAGTCTTAGGTGTCTTCACAAGAAGCAGATGTTAGTACTGAGTATAATCATATATTCCTGGAATGCTAAAAGCATATTTTGTTGTATATAAGGAGAGGTTCAGGCAAACAGATGGGGGACTTGTTCATTCAACATTTACTGACTTTTCAACAGAGAAAATGCAAAAGGAGATTGATTCCGTGATTGGCCGAGAGCGAAGCCCTCGCATGTCGGATCGGAGCCAGATGACCTTTACAGATGCTGTGATCCACGAAATCCAGAGATACATTGACTTCATTCCTACTAATGTCCCACATGCTGTAATCAGAGACACCAAGTTCAGAGACTATTTTATCCCCAAGGTCTGTTACAGTGTATCTGAGAAATGTCATAGTCTCTTGAAAACAACAATTGAGTTTTGTTCTTTTTATTTATTTTCAAAAGCATTGAAATGTGATACTGAATTAAATTTTTTTTTTGTAAGGGGATTCTGGAAGTTGCTGAGTCCAAGCCCTTGTATTAGAAAAAAATAAGAAAATACTTTTGCATCCTCTGTATGAAGAGGGAGATATTTCTGGGGTTTTTTTTCACATCACTGTAAGCTGTAATTTATTTGGACACAATATTAAATACTCTAAACAGACTCTTTATGAAAATTCCCTAAAAAACATCTTTGCCATACCAACGGCATATATTTTTGTGCATTAAATGTTCATTTAAAAGTGGTTAAACTTTGACTACCCTTTTGTTTAGCTCTGGGAACTTCTTAGGGCCTCCTTGCTTTAACATATCTCCATTGTACCTTTTGTCTTTGTTAATTCAGGACACTCTGATATTCCCTATGCTGAGTTCTGTCCTACATGATAGCAAGGAATTTCCAAATCCAGAAAAATTTGACCCAGGACATTTCTTGAATGCAAATGGTACCTTTAAAAAGAGTGACTACTTCATGCCATTTTCTACAGGTAAGAGCTCTTGCTATTTCAGATCCCAGACCATCCTGTCCTGAAATCTCTCTGAAGATTTCATGGCTCCATCACCATTATCTGTACAACAATGTCAGCTGACATCTGCTAGAGTCACTTCTGGGAAGCTCTAACCCCTGTACTACAGTTCCAGCTGACTTCCTTTTTTAGCAAACACAAGAACTCCTCCAATGCCTTCTACAAGATGTGTAAGATGTGGGACTCAACCACACAACTTGTCTCTCAAACCATCAAACAGCAGCAGAACTTGAGCAACCAAAGCCTTCAAACTGCCTTCACTAACTGAGCACTCTTGTTGGTCTAGACCTTTAGTTCCTAGTTTCATTCATGCTTCCCCAAAATACTGCAGTGCTGCCTGTGCAGTCTGAGATGTCTCGGTTTTCATGGAACTGTGGCTAAAATCAGTTATCAGCAAAATACGCCACTGTGACCTCTTTCTTTTTTTGGTTTTTTTTTTTGATTGCAGGAAAACGCATCTGTGCAGGAGAAGGTCTGGCCCGGATGGAGATATTCATATTTTTAACATCCATCCTGCAGAACTTCACTTTGAAGCCTGTTGTGGATCACAAAGACATTGACATCACCCCAGTAGTCACCAGTCTGGCAAATATGCCCCATGACTATGAGGTCTCTTTCGTTCCACGTTAGCCAAGTGAGGCGTTTCCAGCTCCCAAACTCAGGAGTGCTCGGGCTGAATGACATTCCCCAGTCTGTTGAGAATGAAACACTCAGACCATTTATGGAGAGAAGAGTGCTTAGAAAATTAAATTGCATGGTGCTTTTATAATCACCACAGCCAGCCCTTAACAGAGTAGGCAATCACACAGGGAAGGACACACTACCCTGTGCAAAATTACAGATTCTCCTCTGCATCTACCTCACCCAGCTGTGGTTGCTGTCAGCTCCTGACATGCCAGGCTGCCTGCACGAGTTCTCTGAGAGCCCTGCTGCTGCTGCCCCTACCACCTGACAGGTTCCACCAGGAATAGATGCTTGTACTCCAGGGTTTTTACAAACTCTGTTTGAAGTACCTCTCTCTGAACTTTCAGTTTCTGCGTGAGGGCGTACACGGCCCTAAGTCCGGCTAGCTGAAGGGGTGAAGCGGCCGACGCCCCTGCGCATCTGAGGCCAGCCCCCCTTGGCGTCCTGGCCTCGGGCTGGGCTGGATTGCGGACTTGGGTTCGCGCTGGATGAGACGAGAGAGGAGGCGACCACTTGCTAGGGGTAAAACGTCGGTTTATTGAAGAGCCCACAGGCAGCACAGGGCAAACCAACAGGTGGAAAAACCCACAGCAAAACGGCCCTGAACACGGGGGGAGACAAAGTTTTACAGGGAAGGGGTGGAGACGGGAGGGGAAGCCCAGCTAACCAATAGGGGAACATGTGGGGAGGTACATAAGAAAACTGACACAAGAACTTATCCAATAACCATAGAACAAAGGAGGGGCCCCGGAACGCCAGCCAACCACCACCCCCAGAGAGAAGAATGTTCTAGAAAGCAAGGAGGAGTGGGGGGTGATTGACTGGGCTCAGGGAGGAGGAAAACTTTACTTATATGGTGGGATAAGGGAGGAGCAGTTATGTAACTTGGGAGATTGACAAATAACGGGGGCAGGGGTAACCGTGGTAACATAACTGCCAAAGACACTGTGGCGGGAAAACTGGAGGAGGAAGAACCATCTTACAAAGAACAGGGGGGGAATAATACATAAAATGGGGGAACAAAACAAGAAACTTAAAAACACACTACAACAAGTTTCTTTGTAATCTATTTGTAAAGACAAACATAAGGGTATTTTGTGGTAAATAATATAGACTTCTTTCCCGAAAACTTACTGTCTACTGTACTGGGGATACAGCTTGTCAGTGACTGGGCAGATGGGTTATCCTCTGTGATTGCAATAAGGGTTTGTGAAATTACAATTTATACTGCAAAATAAAGAAGTAGTATACTGAATTGTTGTTTTTCTGATATTCCAGAACATCTTTTAGTGAAAAACCAGTGTCCACAAAGCTTATACTCCAAAATCTCTTTCAAGTCCTGTACACATTTGACTGCTTCATTTCACTCATATGAAATGTACTGTGGCTTGAAGAATGAGTTGGTTAATGATCTATAAATGTCCATTCCCAATCTGGAATAAAGCTGCACTGACCCTATGGGACCCATCAGAACCCCAACTGTGGTTACAGAGCTGTTCATTGGGGAAGAAAAAGGACAAATTAAATCATACCAGGATCCCCCTCCAGTACCTTTTCCTAGATGAATGCCAGCTTGCATCTTCCCAATATTTTATGAAGTACATAAAGATCACTACAGCAATGTTTTAATCAGGAAAAAAATAATAAATAGAGTTTATATGACTTGCCAAGCATATATGTACAGATCAATGGCTGGCATTTCCTGCCTTGATCACATTCCCATCAATGTATAGTGATTACAGTGAAGAGAGCTGAATCTATATTATGTGGGAAAAGACAGAACTGTAAAATTACCACAATGCCATTAACTGTTTATGTGAAACAGACAGAGCTTGCTTCCTTTCAAAGATTATTAAGCTAGACATACTATGCATTACTAGCACGATATTGCAAAGGCAAAAAGCCACAAATTCCACAGAATCACAGAAATAAATTCCCTCACCAGATAAAAAGAAGAAAGCACTGTACTTCCTCTTTAGCTGTGCCATGACAAAAATAGCCAAAGCAAAGGAGGGTGCAGCTTTCTTATTCCAGTTATCTTTCTTCATGCTGAGAAGTCAAGGAGGCAGCCAATGCAGATCAGCAAAACAGATTTAGTGCCTGGAGACTCCACCATGGCATGAAGTGGGCTTTGGGATTAGAGGGCTAAAGCCATGTGCCCTGATTCTGAACACTGTGGATATCTCCACAAAGTACTGCTCTGAAACTTGAATGACTTCAGCATAACCTGTTAGAGCAGCTTGGCAGAACTGTCTTCAGATGCTGGAAAAAAATTCTCTGGAACTGAACTCTTCTGCTTCTTCTAAAAGAGCTGTTATTTGCTAGGCTGATTTTCATTCCCTGGTTTGCAGTTGCAGTCCAAGCCATCAAGAACTGCTTCAGCTCCAAAGTGGTTTGCAGACCATTTTGATAACTCACTTGGCCCCTGGACTCTCATCCATCAGCCCTCCCTTTTCTGTTTTCCTCCTGTTCCTCCTTTTAAGAACCCACTATTTTCTTACTCTATTTTCCACCAGAAAATGCTGCAAAGAACTCTGAGATTTATCTCCTCTGGAATTTCTCAGGGATTCTTCAGTAGCTGAGCAGTAACCAAGTTGTGGCTTTGCTTTTAGACTGACTATACATTTCCCCAGTACAATGCTGTTCACCCACACCTGTGTCTCTTCCATGGTGCTACTCTCCAAGGACCTGCCATCCTTGACATGATGTGGATTCTACCAGTGGATCCTACCAGAGGTCCCTCAGGCAGGGGGGGTAACAGTTACTCAGAGACACAACTGGGAACATAGCTGTCAGCTCTTAGCCTAACTAGGATGCCACTCTCACACTCTTCCAGCCAGCCAGGAAGTCCATCTCTAAAATTTCCTCTCAAAAACAAAGTCTATTGTGGGACAAGCCCTTCTCTCATTTTTGCTTTCTGGAGGTGGAATACTCAAAGAGTTTGTGAAGGAACTATTTCTTACCTTTCTTACCTGAAAACATTGAGCACTTGGTGACAGTGCATGGCTAGAAGGATTTCCATCTTCAGAGCCCCTGGAGGTTTTCAACCTTGTAGTTTTAAAATGGCACTGTATTTTGTACACACAGAAAAGCAACTTTTTCAAGAGGAACAGCCCATGGTCCATCCTGTGCCTTTCCTGTGGGATCTGTGGTTTTCCCTGCTGGAATGGTGCCTCCCTGTGTTCCCCTGCAGTCCTGCCAGGTAACACCATGAGCACAGAAATGCTATTTCTATATCAAACCCAGGATTTTCAAAGTGATGGTGAAGGCACTCAAAAGTCATCTGCTTCACTCTTCAAAAAGAGCACTAGGGAAAAGTGTCCATCCTGACTAAACAATGGCTGTACACAGCCTGACAGCATGATGATCTTTATCACACTAGCACCTGACTTGTAAACACTCTTAAGTTTGAACCACTTCCTTCTTACATACAGCACTTGCACTGTCTTCAACCACAACTCACTCAAAAGCCAGCCTGAATTACTTAAGGTCAGCAGGTACAAAAAAAATATCCTTGGAGTAGCACGAATAACTGTTCAGTACAAAGGGCTCTGCCAAATCAGCAATTTGGAACGTTGTTAACCTAGTAGAGAAGTAGATTTTTGTGGTAGGCATGCCACTTCAAAAACTACTAGGATCAAAATTCACTGGTGAAGTAGAGAAAGGGTCTGCTAAGTCAACTGAGCAAGTAATAAAAGTAATATGTCTTGAAACTTCACCAGAGGTCCAGACACTCAAAGAATATAATGGCAGGAATACTTGATGCAGACGTTTAAAACATGTTCTCTTCTATCATCCCTAATAGCTTGAAGGAGTTTGTCTTTATTAACAGATCCCTTTAAAAAATAAAAAAAACAGCTTGTGTAATCTTTCCAACAGAAGCTGAGATTCCAGAGAAATATATACAGCAATTTTATTGTAAATTTGTCTCTCTATTTCAAACAGATAAAAGGGGACACCAAAATGAAGTGTTTTCAATACCCCACCCATTAAGTCCAAAGTTCCAGGTATCTTCCCAACACAGAACCCAATGAAGGAAAAATTGAAGTTTAGGTCCAGCTGCTACTAAGGGAAAATATCTTTACAGATTATGGAAGACATTCCCTAGACCAAGTATTTCATGTGGAGAACAGGACTAACACACATATAGCCAATACTGACATGAGTTAAAAGACAGCCTTCTACTTTTCACTGCAGAACTGAGGCAACAGTACCCCTTGAGAAGAGGAAAATATTATTCAGCCTTAAGCCTGAACACAGCCTACCAATAGCTGGAAAAAGTCCCAGACTCCATGTCAGTTGTAAACCAAATCCTTGTCAACATACAGAATTTGCTGCTGTGCAAAACCAGAGATCAGTCGGATTCACTGCCCAACTCCAGCTTACAGACTATGGTCATTTCATCGTTTCTCCAGTTTTTTGTACTTGGCTTCTGCAGAAGGAAAAATAGTACTTTAGTACTTGGTAGGTAAAAGCTTTGCAACCTGTAAGCTAATTTACTGTATCATTCAGGATCCTTTTTTCCTAATGCATTTAGGCAGATAAAATTGTACAATAATTTTTTTAAGAACCCAGTGCTTAAGTCAGACAATAATATTAATTTAAGCCAAGAGGGCTTGGGTTGCTGGTGGAACATTATGAACCCCTTAATTTGCAAGGTTAAACATCAGACTTTAAATTATAAGTCAGTGCCTACCATAAAAAAAACCAAGCCTCACTAATAAGCAGTAGTTTAACAACACCTGTACTAGTCCACCGTAACATAACTCATGACATGAATCTTTTCCCAATGCTTATCACTTCATAGACAATGTTTGTGCTCAAAAGCAGCACAGGCAACTCTGCACCTCAGATTTGTTAAACAAAACAGAGTTTACTTTCTTTCATTCTTTTTAAATCCTCTTGCAAGGCACTATGCTTCTAGGTCTTAACAGTGGAGGATGATAGTTACCAAGTTTTTTGGAATATGCATCCAGTTTATAAGCTGCCTGCTCCAGAGCTGCAACCTGTTCCTCAATTAAGTCTATCTGTTCCAGATATGGCTGAAGATCAGCATCTTAAAAAAGCATGAAAAATTTACCTGTCAGTTCTCAGTAATGCACTTCCAAGAAACAGTTCACACTTGAAACACAAGAATTTCTTATTACATTCTTCAGATGGGACACTTCAAAAGGTGCCCTCTCCCAGCCCAAAATTAAGTGGTGACTCTGACAGCCATGTTCCAGGAAAATATTAAATGTTTAAGTGTACTGTCTAGTCTCTAACACAAGTAACAAGAGAACATGAATTAGAAGAAGTGTTATTCCTATCAGATCCAGAGTCTGGGGTAAACCAGGACACAAATTCAGATGTATTTTCTCTTACAGTAGTCTACAGAGTCTAAAGCTGTTAAGAAATATACAAGACTGGCATTGCATAGCAACACATCTATATCAGTGAGTTTTATTTCCTTCAGTACTAATGGAGCGTGAACGTTCTGACTCTAAGAGGCTTTATTTCCCAAACAAGTGTGCCATTTATGACACCCCTACCTTATTTGGTCTACTTACATTTTTGGTTTAAATCCTTCAGATTTCTACTGATGTTTATAGCAATATCTTTCATTTCTAAGTACTTCAAGCTAGTCAGCTTATTCATGTTTTCCAAGAGTTTGTAGTCTTCACTGGTGGCTTAAAAAAATATAAAATATATTTTAATTAAAGGTGATGTGGTTTGAATTGTGTGCAGACTCTTCAAGAGGACAAGAGATTTCAATCCAACAGCCAAATAAAGCACAACAGTTTAGATGGCAATACAGGTTATTAGTATACACTCTACAAAAAGATGACATTTTGTGAATTCCACAAAATTTACTAAGTCCTCACATTTCTATTCTTACCTCTGTCAGTTAGACACTTATGTTTACAAAACTGATAGCACAAATCCAGACTTGTAATTTGTAACATATATTCCTCCTATAGTCTGCAAATCAGGAGTGCTTTCAAAATTAGAGCCTAGGACATGCATTAACTTGGTGAACAGTTTACTTTGCTCCAGTTAATTTTGCACAGCAGTTTATTCTAAAGCATAAATGTTGGAAAACATATATGATCCTTGCTCTCAAGAAAAAAATGACTCCACTCTCTGTAGTGCCTCCCTCCTACTCTGTTTTAACCTAGATGCTTTTGTTAGATTGACTTTCCATGTACAAACTTCTTTGAGATGAAAAAGAAATATTTTTAAGCTGCTGATATCACACTGAATTGTTCTGAAAAATATTTGTAATATTCTGGGACTTCATTAAATTATTATAACCAATCTCAGTGTTCTTAGCAGCCTAGCAATGTGCCAAATTTGGACTGCCAGTCTTACCAGACGCAATCTAAATAGTTACAGTTTAGACAAGCTATCCAAGAGATTTCTTTCAAACAAAGTGGAAAAAAAAGAACTTGCAGGTCAGTATTGCAGTGCCTTACCTGTCAGTTCACCTGTCAAGTAAGTGGCCATTTTGCTGAACATGTCTTTGCAGAGTTCATTGATATCTGCTTCTGCTGGCTCCTTAGCTTCCTCTGCAGTTTCAATAGCAGGATCCTCTACTCAGGGTAAAGACATTACAGGGTTAAGACAAACTATAGCAAGTCCGGAAGCACAACAGAAAGATTACATGGTTCCATTTCCCCCCCCTTAAGCTGCCTACAGCTGCTTTCCATGTAAATTGCCTTCTTTACACGTTACACTGTTAAGGAGTAACAAACCACGGCAGCTTCTTCGAAGTAGCACCATCATTATTTCCAAATAATACTTTAGGGAGCACTCAAGAGAGAGGCACCCGGCCTGACAGCACTGACAAGCATTAGTCCCCCTCGTGCCTAGACAGCAAAGCAGTTTGGGCAGAACTTCTGAGTGGCTGAGTGCACGGCGCTGCTGTTTATTTCTGGTCACCGACTCGGAAAAGAAGCACCACTGCCCCAACCCGCTTCATATGGGCTACAATAGATTCCCACCTGCCGAAAGCGGCAACCGCCGCTTTCTTCTCAAACCCATTTCTGCCACAATCTGCCCTTGTTCGGCCCCTTCTCGGAGCAGTCCGGCACCTCTCCCCCAGCCCGGCAGGCCGCTCCTTCCCCCGTCGGCAGCGTTTGTGGGCTCGCACACGAAGGCTGCCCGAGGCCCGCGGCTCCCTCCGACCGAAGCGGCGGCAGGGCCAGGACCCGGCCGGTCCCCGGGGCAGCAGCGGCAGGAGGCGTATGGCCCAGCCCGGCCGGCACACGCCAGGCCGCGGGCTCGCCGGGAGCTCCTGCCCGCGCCGCGCTCTCCCCGGGCCGGGCCAAGCCCCGCACCGCGACCCCGGCCCTAGTCCTGCACCCCGGCCCCGGTCCCTTACGCTTGGCGGGCTGCGCGCCGGCCTCGGGCGGCCCCTCCGCCGCGGCCGCCATGGGCACACAGCCGCTCCCACGGCCGGAGCCGCCTCCTCCGGGCCGCGCCAGGCCCGGGCCCGCCCCGCGCCCGGCGCAAGGAGGAGCGCCCGGAGCCCCCGCCCCTGAGGAGCGCCCACGGTAGGTGTGCGGGGTGCCGGCACTGCGGGGACGCGGCTGCAGGGAAGAGACGAATGCCGAGGTGTACAAGGTGTACGAGGTTACTTTGCTCCAGGCGTTACAGGCAGTGAAGCCGAACCGAGAGCGCCCGGTCTGTGCTCGATGCGACTGCGCTGTCAGTGCGCTCCATTCCCCCTTCCCACCGCAACCGTCATTGCAGGAGCACCGGCAGGACTCTCACACCGCAGCCCGGTCCAGGAGCTGCGGCCAACCCGACCTTCACAGGCAAACTCTCCAGTCCTGTGTTTGAGGATGTTTTCCTTTGGCTTAGCTGATCCGCTTACATCTGCAGGTCTTCATGCGATTTAAAAGCATCTCTTCTGCTGCTGATGAGGTGGCCAGGAAACAAGTATCGGCACGATAGCCGATACTCAGGGATACTGTGGGGACTGTGGTACACGTTGCTGTAGTTGCCACAGCCGTAGCTACATAGGTGTTATCCAGTCCATAGTGTAAGTAGCACTATATACAGATAGTGCAGCTAAGAACTGAGTCTGTTGTTAAAAACTTCTGCCAGTAGTAAGTATACAAATTTTTATTTAGAAAGTAATAAAGAAAAAGGGCATTCCCTCTCATCCTTTAAGTAGTAAATATATTTCTTGCTGTTTATGGGGGCGAGGGGAGGTTTTTTGGTTTTTCTTTTCCTGCAGTACAACAGTACATATTTCTCTTCTTAGGTGAGATGCCTAACACCACTGCTATTTAGTTTTTAATTAAGCTAAAGTTGTTTCTGGAAGTAGCTTCCACTGAGAAGCTACTACAAGTACAGCTGTTTTTTTTCTGGTAATGAGTGCTTGGTCTCTACTGACTTCAAACTCAAATGCATCTCCAACACACTGTGAATGGTCTGTCTCTCCTCAGATGTGACAAGCACTAACAAGGGACAACATATCATTGTAAAAATGCCACCATCACCTTCCACCTTTTGTGATGGAGAAGCTCACATGTCCAATGGAATATTTTGTGTATAAGCTGGCCACATAATTATAATGGTTTACAATATAAAGTTTGATATGTACCTAAGGAATTATGAGAATTGTATTTTCTTAGGAAAAATCACTTACGCAATGTACATTAATGCATTTCTTCTTAAAACCCACAGTCCTGTGGAGATCATGGTCCAGAAACAGGGGAATAGGCCTCCCATCTGAAGTCCAGTAAAGTCAGCTGAAACATTTTGGCAATCTCCAGTAGGCCCTAACAAGCTTTGCAGCTTTAACACCTGAGAAGCTGCAGGGCAAGGCAACACAGGAGTCTATGTGAACTTCCTCATGAACCGGAGTTTTGCATAGGCAATGATAAGGAAGATGACAGTCATGCAGAAGAGAGCCACTATGTTTTCCCACATTGCCCAGCTGGTAGGGGCAATTCCTTGGCTGCACAGGTATGCTTCACCAGAACACCTGCAGAAAAGCATGGGGCAGAAGTTCATGTTACTATGTAGCACACATCCTCAGGTAATTATTATTGTTTCTCAAAGATCCTTCTACCCTCAACTCTGCAAAACAGGTGATGGAAATAGACAATCCATCACCAAATAAAACTCAAGGGACAAATCTAATCTCTAGCTCTCCTAATTTTACAGTAGCAACCTAATTGTTCTTTATAGATAACTGGCAATTTATGAGGAAACCTCAGAACCATCTTAAACCATGGTAAGTACAGAAGCATTAGCTTCCCCTCAACAATCACTGGAACTCCAAAAGCCATGGAAACAGTACTCTAGCACTGCTCCCTGCAAAATATTCAGCTTGCCATTTTTCTAGTACGAATCACAAAATAGCTGCACTGCTACAGCTTAAGACATCAATAGCCAAGAGCATTTCAAATAGGGCAAAATGAAGCACTGTGAGAGAGATACCTTTGCTCTCTCTGGATCTGCAGGGAGGTTAATATTTAAAAGTTCTGTGGGAGAGGCATGTTTCTGATCACAGGCCTACTGCTTTCCAGCAACTCTGTAGCTGTCCACACACTGCCATTTCCATTGTTAAGTGACTCTGGATTTGTTTAGGAAAACTGATCAATCAGGGCTAGGTTAACAAATACAAAACTTAATTTAGCTAATCTGCCTATTTTTACAAGTAAAGTTTCATCCCTACTTTGCTCTTGGGTAATTGTGGAGTTTTACTGTATAATCCTAAAATACATTACTTTGGGACATGTTGTTGAGACTGGCTTGTAAGTGGTTATTCTGAAAATAGTATAAAAATTTGACACAGTCAGACTTCCCTTCAAGTAATCACTATTCAGGCCCAGAACCATCATGAGTTACTTACATTTCTTCTGTAATATTGGGGGGACAACTGCCTGTGTATCCCACTGACACTGTAGTATTTGGATTCTTCTCACCACAGAAGTAGAGATCTCTGTACTCATTTACCTGAAGGGCCTAGGGAAAGAGGAAGACACAAGATTTTTGCATAGTTCATGGTTTGGGCTCTTAAAACTGAAACACTTCAAAGGAACTTGATTATTAGAATACACATACTACCATTCTTGGAATCATATGTTCACGTTCCTTTTTATTTTCAAGCTCTTAGACACTGCTTTTCTTAGAAACTGCTCCAAGTTCTACATGCAGGGTGGTTCAGTGTCCCAGGCCTTGGCTTCAAAGTTACTCAGCCACGGGTTTCTGTCTTGTCAGCTACAAGTTTCTGTTCATCCACACTCACCTGGGTCAATCTACTGATCCAGAAAATCATGTGGCTGCATGCAGATACCCCAGCATCACCACACTGAAGGCATGGCAAAGTCAGCCAAAGCAAGAGGTGAAAGGTTCCTCAGCACTGGCATTCTGCACTCACTGCTATCTCAGAGGATTCTTCTACATTGAGTAGCACTGATAAACCATCTCAGTGATACCCAAGTAATGAGGTCTCACACATCTCCCACCCTGCACCAGCTCCAGCATTCATTTCAGTCATTGTTACCTGAAGTAGGACACTATTCCTTCCAAAGAGGCTTGACAAGTATGCAAACAAGGAGATGGAAACAACTCCACCTATGACCTGCTCTATTTTCTGTGTTTCAAGCAGCTGCACCCTTAGATTTTGGTACCCCAGCTCCTTACTATTCAGAAAAGTCAAATTTCATTTCAGAGGAAGCCACTCTGAAGACTGAGACACTTGTGCACTATAGTAAATCCCTTAACCAGTTGGAAAGTCATTGGCCCCAGCTGGCCACCCATGCAGTAGTGTCTGGAGAGGCTAGACAATATTTGATTTTATTCTAAACCACAGGGATCAACTACTCAGGCTAGGAATTAGTACTTGACTGGACAGCTTGCTCTGCAGCTGTCCAAGCTGCATTAATTCTGTAGCACAAAATGTTTGTTCAGGCCCTGAGACTTCCAGCTCTCACACAGAGTTCTAAATTTCGCTTCCTTTTTGAGGCTGGCTGGTCTATTTTTTTCTTTTTTTTCACCATGTTCATGCAATGAAACAAACCAAATCTGGCTTTTAAGAGAATTTCAAACTTTATACTCAAAACCTTTCCAGGAAGCAGCAGTGTGGCTACATTACTCAAAGGAGACCAATGCTACTTTCTACTCACAGTGAGGCCATATCGGGGGATGCTGAAGTACTTGAGCCAGTTCAGCCAGCCCATTACTGAAGGGAGGTTCACTAAGAGGCCAGAAAAGATCTGAAATAGAACACAGGAGATTGATGAGTCACAAACTGTTTATTACAAATAATACCATTCCTGCACAGATGCTGCAGCTCCCAGCAGAGGTTCACTGGGATTGATGGACCTGCTACTGCTGTCATCCCTGCACCCACAGACACGAGTTGGAGCCTTGCAGCACTCCCATGCCACTGGCCTGACAGCACACCCAAGTACTCCAGCTGAACTGCTTGCAAAGAGGTCAGAAAGGTTTTCTACACCCACATGTGAGCTAAGAAGCATGATCACAACTTCTTACCCAGGAGGACTATCCTATGGTAGAGCTAGGCAGAGGGTAAAGAAGAGAGGAGAAATAAGAAAGAGATGAGAGACTGGAGAGATGAGAAAGTGGAGAATCAAAAAGGAGAAAAACGGGGAGCCTTATGAGCTGTTATCATTTCAGTCTTACATCTTTTATCCTCTGTCCTACATCTTTTATCCATGCTTTCTCTCATCTGGAAGAATATTTGCTTTTACTTCTTATCACAAGTGGTCTTCATAGGTAAACACAATACTTCAGCCTCTGCTTCATCACAAGTGATCGTGTGCTTACCCCACTGACTTTCAGGACATGCATGTGTCACTCCTTATACACTATGACCTAACTCAATGTACATCATGCCCTTCACTACACATGCACACTTCTCACCCACAGTGAGCAGTTAAAGCAGTGCACTTGTCTTATTGCAAATGCAGCTTAAATTGCAAATCAAAGAGTAAGGGAGATACTGTGTCTCAGAGTATGTACACAGACAGTGACCAGGAATAATCTAACAAGAAATATGTAACTTGGTAGGTTTCACAGTCAAGACGTTTCATTATCAACATCACCTTTTTCAAAAAGAACTCACAGCTCTCATCTCCAAGTGGTCAAAATTTCTTTCTCTCTCTCTTGTTCTCTTCCTTAAAAAAATCCTCAGGGAAGAGTATTGAAGTAATTTCTTGAACCCCAAGGTAATATTGAATTACAAAACAAGAGAGGGTTTGTGACTTTTGTACCACTTGGGCAGCAAAAAATAATGCAAAAAATCAACAGATCTAAAGTTTATTTCAAGGCTTTTTCCATATAAATTATCTAGTTGATCAGTTAGATTTCTAATACTAGAAATGCAAGATTTTTTAAAATCAATCTTTGTAAGGACAATTTAATTTAAGAAAAAGCAACACGTGTTTGGGGCACACTGTTTGGAAAGCTCTGGTGGCATCACAGGTACTGAA